TTTAGTTCGCGATGTTTTGTTTTTGTCCTGCTTTATAAAGTGATTTAAAAGGTGCAGTAAACAAACAGTTGACGCCAACAACTTCTGCTTTTTTTCTTCCATTTTTCTTGTTTTCTCTCAAAAAAAAAAACTAAATAATTATTTCAAGCAACAAAAAAAACTCACGATTACATCAAGATGTTCAAAGAAAAAATAAAAATTTGCAAAATGAATCACAGATCAGAAAAAGAAGAAAAGCTATTTTGCATTTACTCAGCCAATAATACGCTGTACATAAAGTTGTTTTTTTGAAGTCTGCGTCTGAAAACGTCACCAAATTCTGCATTTATAGCTTTGAAGGCATCTAATACACAGAACTTCAACGGACGTTTCGCAACACTTCAGGTACATCTTTATACGCTGTAAATTTAATGCGTTTATGCAGTATACAGCTGGTGGATGGCTTTAGCTAAAGATCTATAGCAAATTTAAGTACGAAATACATGGATCTGTTCGTCCAACTAAAATATTGACTTCCAAGGTCAAAAAAAGAAAAATCTGGAAGGAAGGTTTATTTTTGAAAAAATAAATAAACATAAATCACAGTGCTCAAACAATCAGATTTTTAGAAGAAGAAAAGAAGATTCTGTTTGGATACGGTATAATTTGGAGGATTATGATAAGCGAACATGGGAGTATTTCCTCCACAAAATTGTATACAGTTAGCCAACTAATGGATCAACCAATCAACAAAATAATGTTGATTTTTAGATTTTTAAACTTTTTCCCCCTCTTCTTCATTTTTTCTTTCTTCGCCATTAAAACAACAAAAAGAACTGATAATTTTTTGACAATAATTAAGCGCTAAATTACCCGTAAATTTTGAAACTGTAAGACACATTTCATATATACTGAAATATCGATACCAACAGATAAAAACAAGGACACAGACACAGACACAGACACAGATACAGACGCAGAAGCGGAACGGACATACAGATCGTTCATCGGACCTGTTGATGAATGAATCTGTGGTGATATTCCTTAAACAACAGTACATATCCTACAAATCTATCGTTCTATCTGTTCTTGTTCTTCTTTTATCTATTCATCTAGACATCACATTCAATTTATCCATTAATAAAACATTTCAGCTGAAAACAGAAATTGATGCAAACGCAAAGAAAAAACCTGCTAAATAATCCATAAAGAGAAAAAAACAGCTACACAGTTCTATCCAACAGATTACTTCTCTCATGAACAATTTTATGATACTGAACAGAACTGTGTTCAATTGAAATGTTCACTAAAACAATTTGCAAGCATAGACAATCAGTGAATTCTTGTTAGGCTTTATAAAACTGTGGCATAGTTGGCACCCATATATATATACACACACATATTATCCCTAGACTGATGCCAAACATCCGTTTCTTTCAGCTTCTTCATTTTTATCCAACAAATGCTGCAAATTAGTAGTCCAAATTTTTCACTGTTACTGTACTGAACTGTTGCTCGTCCTCGCAATCTTCCAGCAGTCGTGTTGATTCCGATTTATGCTTTAATTTACCTCTTTTTCGTGTCATTAAACTGCAAAAAAACAAAAATTAATAATCAAAATGATGCAGAGACAAAGTATGTTTAACTGTCCTGTATCAGAATCAATTTTTTTTTGTAGCTTTTTTTTGGTGTTATTACACCGACAAATGTAATTACACCCTTCTCCCCATCGCCCTAACAAAAATTTTGACAAATTCAGGATAGACAACTGTGTTTCCTTACCTTCCAGAACTTTGAGCTTCCCAAACACGGCAGCGTGCAAACTGATGCATAAGAAGCCGTCCAACTTCACGTTGCCTTCTTGCTGCTCCAGAAACAAACCTAAATTCCACCTCTTATTTTCACACCTTTTGTTTCGCCCTCTTTCTATCTGTTTACATTTCAAGAAAACGGTATCCACCACGTTGAAACAATCCAACAAATTAAGGCTTTTTAGTCAACGTTCTCAAAGATTATATACACACAGAAAACGAAAATTGTTCCTTTCTCTAATAAATTAAAGAAAAAAAAAAAA